GACCATGAACTTGGTGAGAGCTGGTCGGCCAAGGATGGCGTGGTAGGCGGTGTCGAAGTCTGCCACAAAGAAGTTCACATACTTAGTACGGAAGTGGTCGGTGGTGCCAAACTAGACTGGCAAGGTGATCTGCCCCAAAGGTTGGGACGCTCTGCCAGGTACAATACCCCAAAATTGAGAATCAACAGGGATGAGATCGCCCTTTGTGAGGCCTAACTCAGTTAGGGCTCCGACGAAGAGGATATTGAGGGCACTCCCACCGTCGATGAGGACCTTCTTGAACCGCACGTTGCGGATGGTTGGATCCAGCATGAGTGGGAAACGACCAGGGTATGGGATATTTGCCCACTGGTCAGCCCAACTGAATGTGATAGGATGCTCCGACCAGTCTAGATATTTGGAATCGGTGATCGTGTCATACTTGGTGATCGACATGACCTACTAAGTGGTGAGCTTCTGCTGGCGTTTGCTCTCGGAGGCGGCGCATCCTCCGAAGATTGTGGCGATGGTCTTGTTGGCATCTTGGGCAGTAGGTCATGCGCCCTTAGGACACTCCTCCCCTTTGCTGTCGTGTGACTTGTCGTCCTTACGTGTTCGCCATTTCTACTCATCGCGGAAAGCTTTGGCCATGCCATGGCATTGCCGCATGGTGTGCTTGCTGTTCTTGTGAATTAAGCATGGACCATCAAGGAGTTCTTCATAGGTAGCATTGAAATTTTGCTTAGCGTGTGGTTGCTCTATGTTGTCAATGGAGTTTTCTGGTCAGCGGCGACGTGGCTGTGGAGCCCTTGATCCCTCTGGCAGATCAGCTTCTTCGGAGTCTGCGTATGAGTTGGCAACCTTGAGAAGTTTGCCGATGGTCTGGGACCTCTTACGGTAAATTTTGGAGCACAACTCCTGACGGTGATGGAGTCCTCTGGTGAAAGCAGAGATGGCCTCACTGTCTAGCCAATTCGCGGGTAGCCACATCCAATTCTAGATGTTGTTGACCTGGGCCTCAGCTGCTTTGAGCAGCGCTTGAATCTTGAGTATCTCTGGAGTTTGTGGGAGTATAGCCAACTCGTGGGTGGCCATAGCCAGATTGGCGCTCGGCGTCTTCTCCACTCACTCATTGTCCACCATGAGGAACTCTTGTTGGAGATTGCGGACGAGAGGCGGTAGGCCACCTCTGGGGGCTTGGGTGGTGTTTTCTGCTTCTTCATTGCGACATCGTGGGCGATCAGTGTTCTTGGCTTTGCGCTCACGGTGCTGGACACTGGTCTCTCCATCGACAGCAATACTATCGTGGATAACCATGAAAAGCTCTCTCCCCAACCTGGAGGGAAAGATGGGCAGCTGTTGGCAGATATGTTCGGATTTGCTCACGGTGCTGGACACTGGTCTCTCCATCGATAGCAATACTATCGGATTATGGCTCAGGACTTTCCTCTAGGATGGTGTGGAGCATTTCATCCAGAAGATCTATTCGGATTTGCACCATGTTTACCATTGGCGTAGGCTGGTCGGCCTCAAGGAAGTCGATCTAATAGAGGTCATCGACACGGCTACGCTTGGCATGGTCGGCAAAAAGATGGTGCACGGTGTCCTGACAGCTCAAACCCGCACCCACCAGCCTGAAAGAATAGGGCTTCAGCATGCTCTCCATCGGGGCGCGAAGTGGTCGGCGTTGAACGGTACGCCCTTCCAGAGTTGCCGTGATCACCATATCGGAATCTGGCCACCTTGAACGAAGGGGCCGAGCAGGTCGCTCGGTTGTAGCAGCTTGGTGATCTTGGAGGACGGGAAATTCGTCGCTCACTCTAGATTGATCTAAGATCGAAACCATGAGGAGCTGACATTCCGCTAAGTGGTCTGTGACTCGATCGATGGATGCGATCAGATGATCAATGCTGATGGATCTCCTAACCTAGTGGCGGGGCGTCAGGATCAGAGATGTCGTTGCAAGTGTTAGCACGATCGGCGCAGGGTGATCCTGCACCACTTCCACGATCTCCCTGTTGCCGTCGGGGCCGATGATCCAAGTCATGGAACCGACCGTGAAGATTTGGCCCAGCTCGGGAAAGGCCATGGAGCTCGGAAAAGTGACAATCTAGGTTGGCCATGGAATCAGCACGCACACCCCCTACCTGGCGCGTCACTGTCGACGAAATATGGTCGGCAGTCTACCAAGGGGTATGCCCATGGTAGTAGATGAATCGGTAGATGTGCGCGTGATAGGAACCGGATGGTGACACAAGCTCAGAGACAGCGATTTAGATAGGTTCGGGCCGTCTGATCGACGTAACACCCTATATTCTGTGTCTTTGCTATATTGTATTGTATATGAGATGATTTCGAGGGGGGTTCCTACCCGCCTTATATAGTATGGGAGGTAGGGTTACAAGTCGGTTTAGGCCAAGATCTATTCGGCTCTTTGGTAAGTATTTATAAGGAATACAATATCTAGCATATCCAAATAGGTCTTTCTTCATCGCCAAGATGTCTTTTGATTGCCTTGCGGTGCACGCCGACCAGAACTAGGCACCGTAGGCCTTGATCTTATGGGCTAGACCTCCCCTGGCGGTGCGGCCCATGTCCACTGCCGTGGGTACTTGGGGTTATACCCCCCACAAAGTCCGACACTTCCCTATTTATTTTCTGCCGAGGCGCTGATATGGCCTTCTTGCTCCCATATGTTGATGACATTGTTCTTATGGCTTCGTCTACGAGTTTTCTCCAGCACATTATTTCAGCTCTTCGCCGGGAATTCTCTATGATAGACATGGGGCCTCTTCATGATTTTTTGGGTGTCAGTGTTCAGCGCCCAGATGACAGTTTGTTCCTCTCACATAGACAGTATATGCTGGATATTCTAGACCGTGCTGGTATGCGTGACTACAAGCCATGCAACACCCATGTGGATACTCACTCCAAGCTCGCCGCTGATGGTGCCTCCATGTCTGACCCCACCCATTATCGCAGCATAGCTAGGGCCCTCTAGTATCTCACTTTCACCCTCCCAGATATTGCCTATGTCGTTTAGCAGATCTGTCTTCACATGCATGACTCGCGGGAGCCCCACCTCGGTGCCATGAAGCACGTCCTGTGGTATCTCTAGGGAACTTTGGATCTTGGTCTTCACCTGTACCGGACCTCACCGGCTGATCTTATTGTCTACACGGATGCTGATTGGGCAGGCTATCCTGACACCCGCAAATCCACATCAGGTTATGCGGTGTTTCTCGGGACAACCTCATTTCCTGGTCGTCCAAGTGTCAGCCTACAGTGTCCCGGTCCAGTGCAGAGGACGAATATCGCGCCGTTGCGAATGGAGTCGCTGAGGCCTGCTGGTTGCGCCACCTTTTGCAAGAACTTCGCTGTCCTCTTCACTGCACTACAGTGTCTATTGTGACAACTTCAGTGCTGTCTACCTCTCCACCAACCCTGTTCAGCACCAGCGCACCAAGCATGTCGAGATTGACCTACACTTCGTTCGAGAACGAGTCGCCCGTGGTGAAGCCCGTGTACTACACGTTCCCACTTTGTCCTAGTACGCCGACATCTTCACCAAAGGTCTGCCCACGTCCATCTTCACAGAGTTTAGGTCCAGTCTGAATGTTCGCTGTGCTTCCAGTTCCGACTGTGGGGGCGTGTTAGAGAGTAAACCGGCCCGTGGGCCTGCCGACCTAGGCTCCCCACCGTGCCTATATATATGCACCGATTTCCCTTGAGTAATACATCGAGTATTCCCTCATTCACACTCTCTCAAGTCCTATCCTAGAAACTACAAGATAGTTTCCATACTTGTCAAGCCACACAAAGAAATCATATTTTCAATAGACTGTTTCTTCAAAAGATATTTTTTATCCAATCATACTATTACATCTCCTATCTTGGTTCTCATGTAGATTCCTCATTGGGAGTTTCACTTGCATTTCATAAGCTGCCACATAATCGTTTTCAATGACATGGCAACGTTTTCAAGGAGAGAGAGAAAATTGAGTTTTATGGAGATAAAACTCTCTTGGCTCGGTTACCAAGATGAGGCATAGAATTAAATGTCCATGAAATAAAAAGATAAAATTATGCATTGAAAGTGATCATTTCATCCATGTTTCATTGCATTTTATGTTCTTGAAAATAACGTTACGAAACTCTCCTCACAAACCATGACATTCTCTCTCTTCCTTAATTGTAATAATACATCACTATTTTGTTTTAGTTGACATCTTAATTAATATTAATGGCTATAGAAACCATTCTAGTTTTTGGTATCGGACTGTCCTTAAAAGTTCAAGTTCACGGTACAGCTTAGTGGAAATTTCTCACTAACATTGGACAAGTTACGGAAATCGAAAACTAAAAAACATGCATGTCACACATTCGAATGGCATCAACTGGGGCCCCACTTGTCATCTCCATGTCGCATACTATGCGCTTTCCATTTCTCAGAGAACAGCAAACTTTTTCAGTTTCTTTTTCATACTTGTGTTTTCTCTAGACAATATATGTACTCCGTCCGTTCTAGAATTATCGTTGAAGTATAAGTGAACTGTTCATCTTTCCATTATCTTAAGCTTTTTAGTTGAACTGGTAGATATATACAACTCAATAATAATATAAGCATATTTTGATCAAGAAAAGGTCAAACAAAATATAATTTGATTGTTAATTTCTCTTACTCTATGTTGCCCTTTGCTAAAGACTCAATATTATCTCAGACGCAATATATATCAATATGAATCTATACAAGTTTTATGTCCTAAAGTTATCATATATAATTTGAATAATTATCCATCAAGATCTGTAAAATTTGGCTGTTCTCTAGACAAAGTATAATGGCGACCACTGTGGAACGGAGGGAGTACATTATAGAATAGGTTAGATAATGTTTTGATTATATTAAATAGGAAAGGTAACATTGAACGAGGGACGTTCTATTTGATAATACAATACACATTTAAACTGCAGCACGGTGGTAACTATTATTGATGCATGCTTCCGTATTTTCGTAACTGAAGGTTATTGGTGTATATGATTGGCGTGGCAATAATCCAGTTGTGCCTGAACTATGGTTGGTGCCACGTTTCCTCCCAATTCATCCAGGTATATTCTTTTCTTAGTTCCACGAAATGTCTAAGGATATTCCCTGCAAAAGAGTTTCTAGCAGTCTAGACAACTAAACATTTGCAGAGTTCCATAATATCCCATTGACTACAGCAAAATCTGTTTTACTGCTTCAAACAGTCTCGTTTGTCGGCCAATTTTCCATCTCGCTATACTGTACAACAATAAAACAGGATCCAAGGTGCTGATATGGCTTCAAAAGAAAGCTAGCCTGATTTAGAGATTCTGCTGTGGACGGTACATATTTTGAGTGTCTAAATAGTTTTAGAGAGCCAATTTAGAGATCTAAATTTACATATACTCATGGAGTTGCTCTAATAATAGTTTTTTTAAGGGCGCTCCCTAGTAATAGTTGTCCTTTTCATTCTTCATTTATATGTTGATTTGATCAATCTGACATTTGTGGCGTGATTGATGAAATCATACCATATTTTGCAAACAGTTCACTACTCCGTAAGAGTGAAAGACTTGTGAAAACAGAGAATTTCCATTAACGGTGGGTCATGCGACTACAAGTAGAAATATGTTTGTGACGGTTTGGTCAAGTCAACTGCCAGTGTAAACAGATTTTCATAAGCTTCTTAAGCAACCTCCAGTAGAAACAATTTCATTAAAAAATAGCACAAAAATAGGAATTTTTTTTGCCGCACCATCAAAGAACCCCACAGTCACATGTTGCGCGTCACAAGTCACAATTTTCTATGCGTGTGCGTTTTCTAGGACTCAAACTCACAAACTCTCCGACACGAGCCTTCAATACCATCCCAGAATATCTATTGTTGATAGCAATAAGAGAGCCATTCCTTCCAAACATTTGGCGAAAATGATTTTTTTGACATTTTTTAAGGCAACACTAACAAAAATCATTTACAGAGACGGATGGCTTAAGCAACCCGCTCTAAAATTATTCTAAAAGGTGTCTGTTGGGACCATGATGCCTAGGGAGGGGGATTGAATTAGGTTTTCTAAAACTATAGCCTCTAATTTTCACTTAACAAAACCTATACAAGAAAGTAATTTATTTAGATATGCGTCTAAGGTTATGCTAAGTGTATTGCTATCTCTACCGCAAAAGAGATATGTAACCTAGGTTTCAATTCTATCAACTAGCCTAGCAAGCTAAACTAGAATAGTAAGCACACAACCTAGGTACAAAATATAAATGCGGAAGCTTAATGGAGATAGAGATGCAAACTCTCGTCCACGACTACGGAATGGTGTCGATAAGCTCACGCTCCCCCTAGTCCTTGTTGCAGCCCCTCACAAGGATGCCCCCGCAAGGTTAAAGCTCCCAGTGCGGTAACTCCATTGGTAGCCCCCGGGTCTTTCCCACACATAAGTGGGTCTCCGAGATGGCCTCTCCTAGACCCCTCCCCACCATCTTTGCTATCGAGCTTCTGGCCAAATCGCCGCGAGCCTCGTTCCCTCTGGTACACGGTGGCGCGGCTGCACCACAGACATGGTTGGTGTGATTTCACGAGACTACATGCCCCTCCGAGTACAAAAATGAAGCGTGCAAGCATCGAGTGAGAAAGAGGTATGCAAACCTCACAACACTAGGCCTAAAACTAGAGCAAACGCATAAGCGTTGGTCTAACTAGTCTAAGCACTAATGCTAATCATCTAATCTTCTCTTAAGCGCATATGGTGGCTAGAACACTTGAGAGTGTTTACACTCCTGCTTCTTCAATACACTCCAACCTTCACAAATAAGCCGGCCAAGGGGGTATTAATAGCCCCCACAAAGAAATTAGCCATTGGGTAATGCACAACACATTTTGTGCTCACACCGGAGATTTCGGTGACCCCATCGGAGATTTCGGTGACCGCCGCATGTACTAGCAGCTGGATTCGACCATTGGATCATATGTCGACTGTTGCCCCTTTCTCCGGTGCAACCTTTCCAGTGCACACCGGATAATTTCGGTGGCACTGTTCTGCCTTTGGGTTCCCGTTCTGAGCTTCACCGGAGAAGCCCTTTTATTTGGTGCCTTGCACCAAACATTTCCAGTGATAGAAATTCCTTTCTACAACCTCTCTGGGTGTGACCCTATCTTCCGGCGCTGTCTTCATCGATCTCCGGTGATGGCGTCTGCATAGTGTTGTCTTCACAGTCTTTTCTCTGGTGCTCTCTCTGCTGTTACACCGGACTTTTCTAGTGAGTCTTGTTGACACTGTTTGACTACTGTTGTACCTCCCTATCTTCCGGGTGCCATTACCTGGTCAGCACCATAGTTATCCCGTGATTGCAGACAACCTGCAGTGAGCTTTTCTTCATGTCTTTGCATCTGGGTTTTTTTCTAACTTGTGTCCTGGACTTGTAGCACATCTTATAGGTCTTCAGCCCTACTTCTAATGTCTTTCTTATGGTGTTGATCATCCCAAACTTTACATTGCCTAAGTCCAAGTCAACCTTGCATCCATTCGAACTTTTCTTATATACTAGAAAACAATATTAGTCAAAAAGGTCATGTTGTTCATCAAACACCAAAATCAACTTAATGACCCATGTTGGGTGCCATTTTCCTTACAATGGCCCCTTTTTTAGTGATCGATGACAACACGTCCAAAGCAAGCAAATAATATATACCATATGTAGAAAATTCAACTACAACCTATCTACTTGCTTGGATGCAATGCAAGAGCAATATCATATGAAGTTAATTGAGATATGCAATGTACCACATCTATATATTACTTACATTGCTCTTACCATATTTAATATGTCCTCTTATGTGGCATTATGGACTTAAGCCTCCCCTAACTCCATAATCCACTTCCTCCCTTTCAAGGACCAACTCCCCCTTGATCAGGTTCTCCCCCATTCAATACCACTTGAATTTTTTTTAAATTGATTTTGGTATTTATTATGGGTTGAGGTTGTTTGTTGTCGCTCAAATTCTCCCCGTTTGGAATCAAACACTGAAAAGGAAGACATTAGTAACACAAGGGAGGATCAAATTTTGTGATCCTTTGTATGTGGAATGGAGTTGGTCACAAAACTTGACTCTCACATTACATAGACTAAGCTCCACCTAAGTGTATGCATACATATAGTGGATGACAAAGCATATGCATAGACCAGCAATTAAGCACAAAAGATAGTTCAATCTATATAATGCATGGAGAAATCACACATAATAAAAGATACCAACTGAAAAAGAACAAATTGATGCTGATTCAGAGATTGATACCAATTGTACAATTCCAATTGAACTTGATACCAATTTGTAGGATACATCATGCCACTTGAAGAGTATGAAATACAACTTGCAACATTAGGATCCATGCTTAACTCTGGGGACTCAATTTTCCTTACAATGAGACTACTACACACATGATGAGCTTGAAAATAGTGTTAGTCTCAAAGATACTAGCTATGATAAGCTTGAAATAGTGTTAGTCTCAAAGATACCAGCCATGATAAGCTTGAAATAGTGTTAGTCTCAAAGATACCAGCTTGTAGAATATTAACCTCTCCCTCAAAATGTGCATACAAGTGTTGAATACTGGTAGGAGATGTGCACTAGACTTTTAAGGTCAAAATATCACTTGTAAGATGATATCATATGAAAGTGAATACTTTTAAAATTTATTCAACTAGTTATGATAAAGAAATATGAAAATATTTCATAGTATCAAATATGTACTTACATATTATCCTAAAAAATATAATTGGACACACAAGCTTTATTTGAGGAGAACAAAATGAAAAATGTGATTGGTGGGTGAAGTGACTTATTTATGTAGTTAAAAGGAGAGAATGAAATGAAATTTTGTTTAGAGTGTCATTAACTAAAAAATTTAATTAAATGGTAGTAAACAAAATACTTTTTTGCTTACCACTTTTTTTTTGTTGCTTATTTCATCATGTCACGTGAAGGTTCGGTCCTTTATTTATATATGCTGTAGGAGCAGGGACCTTTAAGATTTATACGGATGAAATCAGTACTAGACCTTGGCATGTACTTTTTCTTGTATAAGTTATGCGTTATGTAAAAAAAGAACTCTTGCTGTTATTAACTTATTTATCAAACTGAGTATATGACAGAGACGACAACGATGGAGATAAAGAATTAATTTAAGAAGTATGGGTATACAAAGGAAGGTTGAAGTATTCAGTGATAAATTGTAGATTACATGTAGTTATAGAGAATTATGTGATCATAGTAGTGTGTTGTAAGTTATTAGAAACAGAACTCACAAGCTATATTTGGTCTACAACTGCTATTTACTTAAATATATAATGTACTGAAGTGAGCTTTCTCTTATACACAGGGCGGTTCTGGTGCTTCACTAGGATTACTTACATGTCAATAGCTTTCCTTTATGGCAAAAAATTTGTTGGTCCCATTACACCAACTATATTAGCACTAAGAGATGAACTCTACAGTTCGCCTTATGATCAAATTGATTGGAGTAAAGCTCGTAATTCTTGTTCCAAGGTTTGTCACTGTCCTTCCTTGAGTCTTAATCATTATTATACCCTTAAATATTTAATTGTGCAATGTCACTTGTACAAATTGGTTACTTCGGGGGCATGAAATATGTGCAACGTTAGGATGACACTGTTTCTGTTACTTCGGAGACACGATGTTTACCCTAGGACTCTACGAATTTATGGTTTTGTCGGTAGCGTGTTAAAGGATGGAGAAAGTACCATTATTCTCGGCCTTCTTCAGAGAATCTAAACTGTCAATAGATTATCATTCCTACTGAATAATGTTCGCAGATGCACTGTTCTACATACAGTATCGACGCCATTTTTTAAACATTTTTCACAAAGAAAATACAAAATCAAGCTAAAGGCCAAATGTTTTTTTTTCTTGAGAGATTTTCTTACAGAAACTCTACCAGTAGAGCCCCTAACTGAGCCTTCAAAACTAAAATTTGAGGGATTTGACCAAAAAAATGAGCTCTAACAGGGTCGCTATTAGAGCCATTAAATCTCCCTCCCACCTCTCATTCTAGGGACCCTCTTCCATTCCCCCAAATGATAGTTGGGGTCATTTCCTTCCATGTGCATGACAAATCACGCCTGCCCAGGTGTTGCACTGGTCCGCGAGGTCCTTCCACCTGCGCAGCCCCTCACCCGACGGTGCGGCTCCCCTCCATTGACCTTCCCGGCGAATCTCCCTCCCCGAGGCGTCCCTGCCACGCTGGATCTGCCCCCGGCAACTTCTGTTGCAACCCTGGCCGTGCGGCCTCTCCTCCCGAGCGAGGGCAAGGTCCTCGGCTTGCGACCTCTCCTTCTGGACAAAGGCAATGTCCTGACGAGGTGGCGGCTCCTCCTGCGACTTCGGCCGTTCAGCGTCTCCTCCCGAGTGAGGTCCCCGACAAGCGGTCTCTCTTCCAAGGCGAGGGCAAGATTCAGGCGGGTCCTAGATGTGTGGTCTCTATTCTCATGGCTCCTCTCCCTCCAACACGACGAGAGAGATCCGCTTGTCGCGTCCCTTTTCCCTCTAGCACGACTAGCAAGATGGAAGGGCGATATGCGGGTGACTAGGCGAGTCCCCTCCTCTCGTCAAGATGGACAAGTAGCTCAGTTGAAAGGAGTAGGGAGACGGGAATGACAAGTGGGTTCCATAAAAGTTACTGTTTTTTGGATGGATTTAATGAAAAGTATTGATGGCCATATGACCCGAGGCCCATGGGTGCGACCCATGGCCTGCAATTTTGGCCCAGCCTAGGAACGACATGACCCGATGGCTGCCTTGCCCGTGCTGGCCCGACCCAATAGCAGGGCTGTGCCTGGGCCGCTTCCTTGGCACGGCATGCTGGCCCGGCACGACTCAGTTAGGCCGCTTCCCATATATAATAGACTCAAAACCGTAACTCCTTCCTCCAGCAGACTCCTATTCTTATCCCAGTCGACTGTTTTCCCGATGCCGCGTCCCTTCCTAACTCTGATATCGCGTTCCCTCCCTTCCTTGATCTACCCGATGCCGTATCCCCTCGCTTCCGGCCTCCACCGATCTCCCGCATCGACTGCTCCCCAACCTCGATCTCTGCATCAACCGCTCCTAAATCTCGCTCTACTCTGATGGGCTCCCCCAGGTAGCGAGCAGGGACGCAGGGTAGAGGTGTGCTCATCCGCGGCGACCGGTGAGCAGGGTAGAGGCGCGCTCATCCGTGATGGCCGGTGCACAGGGCGGAGGCCCACTCTCACGGCAACTGGCGCCCACGGGGCTAGCACAGTAGCACGTGACGGCGACGGTGGAGCAGCGCACGGGGATACCACGTGGGCCTAGGCAGGCTCGATGGGCAGATGGGCCGACACGACACGACCCGAGCCTTTTTTTTCTCGAATTACACAAGTATAGACGTAGACACTCAACACGCATGCACACTCATCCCTATGAACACACGTACACAAACCCTACCCCTATGAGCACCTCCGAAAGACTATGCCGGCACATATCGAGAATCTCGAGATTGACGAAGTCACCACAGGCACGTCGCTATCGACGGAAACGTCGCTTACTACTGAAAGCATAACGCCGTTAAATTCTGGAATAAATCCAGAAAAATGTGAGCACCCGTGCCAAGTCGAGGACTTGAACTTGGATAGGCAGGTTAGACCACAAAAAACCTAACCAACTGAGCTAGGCTCAGTTCGCCACAACCCGAGCCTTATAGGGCCGTGCCTGGGCCATAGGTGCATCCCATGGGCGGGCATGGCACAACCCGATGAGCTAGGCATGCCGTGTCGGCCCGAGTCCGATCAGGCCGTGCCGTTTGCGAGCCTGTGCCGTGCTAGGCCAGGCGGCCCATTTGGCCATCTATTATCAAAAGTAAGGACCCTGTTTGGAGAGAAGCAAGTGCCACTACGCCACAAATGCACTGCAGGGGTGGCTCGACACCATTTGTAGGGACGGTTTGCCTAGCCGCCCTTACATGCGGTTCCCAAGCCGTCTCTATCAATCGATTTGTAAGGGTGGCTGAGGATTTGTAAGGGCAGCTCGTTTTCCAGAATTCTCAAATCTGGGCCAAATTAATAGCAAAATTTTATTTTATCCCGAAAGGCCCCACCGGGTAGCCACACGCCCGCGCCGTCGCAAGTCACATGAATTTTTCGTGTGAGAAACACAAGCTTCATGGCCACTGGGGGTTCGAACCCACGACTTCATCATCGCGCGTTACTCTCTCTAACCATTCCACCCCACACGCACTTGTTTCGATATCAGATATTCTTTCTTCTCATATTATGCTCAACCGAATTTAAAATGAGTGTTTGGGAGTCTAAACGATTTCAAATGAAAATGTCGTCAACTACAAAGTTATATAACTTTTTAGAATCTACAACTTTGGTTTTGGTCGTTTCTGCATCCGAGGTCATTTGAAAAATTTGAATTTTAAATGTAGCAAATTTAGACGTAATTATCCTTAGCTAGATGATTACAAATGGAAAAGTTATCAACTACAAAGTTGTTTAACATTTTGAGATCTACAACTTTAGTTTTTGCTGTTTCTCCATCCAAGTCGTTTTAAAAATTCAAATTTCAAATTGAAAAATTTGCAAAGTAGTTATCCTTAGCTAGATGATTTCAAATGAAAAAGTTGTCAACTACAAAGTTGTATAACTTTTTGAAATCTACAACTTTTGTTTTGGTTGTTTCTCCATATGAGGTTGTTTGAAAAATTCAAATTTCAAATTTGATAAATTCAAACGTAGTTTTCCTTGACAAAATGATTTCAAATGAAAAAGTTGTCAACTACAAAGTTGTATAACTTTTCGAGATCTACAAGTTTTGTTTTAGTCGTTTCTCCATCCGAAGTCGTTTAAAAAATTCGAATTTCAATACGTCATTTTTTATAGTACCATCTCTGCCACCGCTAGAATGTTAACTCGGTTGCCCATTTATCCACTTCCAAGATTTACAGTACCGGTTCACTTACACTACTCCAGTGCAGGTGTATCTGCGCGGTTCATAGCCATGGGCCCATATGTTATTTCTACGGGCATTGGCTCTTTATGAACCGTCTATGAAAAAAATCCAAGCGTTAGCTACAACCATTTTTGTACCAGTGAACTTCCATGCCTTCCTTGCTGTGAACGTAACGGTGTGAAATGGTATCAGAAAATCATACTTTCCCCTTCCATGCCAAGTAGTTGATCGGATCCAAAAAAATTGTTAGAGCATGATCAATATAGTCCTCACTAGTTAAGCCCACGTTTGGTACTACAACTCTGCTTTACTGGTGTGGTAGTTTTTTTACGTCAACTCCACAAGCAGTTTTGCTAGTGAAGCTGATTCTATTTTAGAAAAACGTTTGAGAAATTACCTTTCCATAGTATATCAAGGAGAGGGAGTTGGTAGAAGCTACTCTTTTTAGCTTCACCTACCACCCTTTTTAGCTTAATTTATATCCTAGCAGCAAAAATAATAATCTACAAGGGTGTGGTTCAACTAGAACCAACTACTGCACATCATATCTCCTCGAAGGCCTAATCTATGCCATGGATCAATCACTTAGCACTTTGGTAGCTTAGTTTATCTCAAGTGTTTAACCTAGGCTCTAATCTTTACAATCCTAGAAACCCTAAACGAACTAGAGGCTCAACAACAAAAAAAGGTTTTGCAAAATGGCTAGCTAAAAATGCACACACTAGATGATCCCGTTTTCGATGCATGTAGATCATCCTATGTGTGCAAATTTTCCGACTAGCCATTGCAATCCTTTGTTGGAACCACTATGTAATACTCTGGTGTTTGCAATACTAGCACCAAAGCTTCTGGCCTTCACATTTGAAGTTAGCCATGCCATATTCTGGATATTGGAGTACTGTGCCATATTCTTGTGCTTTCTCTTTTGCATTCACTAGATCACACGGTCCATTGAATTTCTTCTGATTGCAACTTCTTCACCTCTCTGGAACAATACTCCTATGCTCTCTTTTATGTTGTCACTGGACCCTCTCATGCCTGCTGCATTTTCTTCTAGTATGACTTGATGCTATGTACGTAGATTCACTCTACAATAATTTGGTGTCCACATTTTTCTCCCACTAGATCTTATAGACCTTGTTTCTTCTTCTTTAGTGTAGCACAAAAATACTCTAGGGCTTCCAAACTTAAAAACCACCGGGTCATCTGGAGGTTGTTTTTTTCCTGCTGTCCACCCTTTTTTGCCTCCTATCTAAGATTCATGTGAGTTCATCTTCCAAGGTACAAAATCTCCTGATCTTTGAGATTTCTTCTGAATCTTCTCTCATTTTGTTTCTTCCTACTATTCTTCATGTCTCCTACTTTTGATCCTTAGGACTTATAAACCTTCTAAGTAGCATTCTTGACAAACATGTTAGTCCTTAGAATTATGTTGCCACTCGATTACGAAAAATCACAAAGCTTATTGTTCAGGGGTCATGTTCATTACATCCATAGTGTTACCTCAATATAGAGTTTAGTTGGAGGAATTGTTTGGTGGAAGAAAGATGTGAATGAGATGGAGGACAAAGTAATTTGAGTATAGTGTGCATGGGTAGATGAGGTAAGATGGGGACAAGTAAAGAGATGTGATCAATGTATGGAGTTTTATGGACCAGATGATAGCTCAAGTATTTTCAGTGGCAAATAAGGACACCAAATTAACTCCAAATGGTACATAAGAAATAATTTCATTTATTCCTAACCCTCCTAGTGTCCTATTGATAAACCACCATTTTCTAGTGTTACAAGGCCAGCATAAAATATCTACCACACACAATGGCATGTTATTTAACATCATTTGAGATAGATCAATAAACTTTTGAATTAATTTGGTGGAAGAATGAGCTTGCTCGGTAGTGACAGTGCCTCTACCTTCAAACATTGTACACATCTTCTGAACCTGTACAAAAATATATATCCATACATTTCCAATCATTATCGCAAATTGTTCTTACAAAGTGACTCTGAATATTCAATTATCTCTTCAAATTTGAAGTCAAAATTTATCTATTTTGTTATATGAGTATAAATTCAAATTCTAAGAAAATAAATTTAAATTCTTTGTGAAAGGAAAATACTAACATAGTACTTCCCATTCAATTATTTTTTTCATTTGTTTAATTACAATACATCATGTTTTGAGCTCAGAAATTTAGAGATACTTAAAACCCCTAAAGTCGTCAAAACTGTAGCTTTGTGTTAATTTTATTAACATGACAATCCCACATGAGGTAATTAGGATGTATGGATGCATTCCATATTTAATTACATGCTTTCTCTTCGGTACTTATTTAGCACTCTAGCACTCATGCAGAAACAAAGCTTACAAATGCCAAATAATGCATGGGATTAAGAACGTTAAACATTTACTAATTTCACTCTTGCCATTTCATTAGGAGGACATGCGCTATAAACCTTCAGGAATATTCAAATTTATTTCAACTTGTTTGAACATGTTCGTGGAGCCGGTGTTGAACTATTGGCCACTTAACAAGTTAAGAGAGAGAGCATTGAACCACATCCTAGAACATATCCACTATGAAGATGAAACTACTCAATATATTGGCTTATGTCCAGTTACAAAGGTATTGTCTACTATCATCATTCTCCCATAGTTATTTCTTTGGAGTTATGCAGCTAATCATATTATTTTGTTATAAGACACAAAATGTGTCATCTGATACTATCTTATATGTATTAAATATTCTCACTAGCACAAAAACACTATTCACAATCGCCTTAGAACTTGATCCTTGCAAAAAAAGAACATGAGGTTGTAGTTTGATTTCAGTAGCTAAATACGAAAACCATTTGTAATTGTCATAGATAATGGACGGAAATAATTTTCTAGTATTTGAGACATACGAGATATCAAATATTTTATATCTAATTCATGTCTAAATAGAAAGAAATAAGTGTTTTTTTCTATCAATACATAGGTGCAGCCAACACAAACTACTCTAAGAAATGTAACACAAGAACAACATTGCAAGAACATAATTTGGAAACATAATGCGGCAAGGTGTAGGTGCATGTGAGCCCAAGAGATGGATGGACTTGGTCACTTAAAAACTTACTCCTAGGGCTATTCTTCATCTACACTAGAACACTACAAAAACCTTATACTACTATTAGCATGATGTGCACCTTAAGTTTTTCTAGTGTCCTCTCTAGGAGGCCACTAAGCCCTCAAGTGCTCCAACTCGCCAACAAGGGCACAGGCACACAGCTGTGCAAACTCTCAAAGCACTCAAGTTCTAAGGGAGACCTATCCTTGCTCTTGGATGTGATCTCTATAGACTTGAGAGGGTGGATGGAGTGTAGATTCACGTGCTCTAGCTTCTAGCAGCCTTAGGGCACTCCAACAGCACTAGAAAAGTGATGTAGAACACATATGTATAGTGCAACCACCCTAAATATATGTTAGCCAAAGTCTACAAAAAAGTGGTACTAGCTGCATGGTCTGGCATGGTTAATTTTCTCCGAGCCTGACAATTACTAACTGTTGAAGTAGCCCGTGCAAACCCTACTGACATCATTTGTGTGATAGTCTCTTTTCTTCTCACTAGACTGTCCATCCTATGATTATGCACCCTGTCACAATACATATTGCCGGACAGACGAACTTTAGATTATCCGACGTGGTCATTCCTTCCATCCTTGGATCGTCCACTGCCTTGACTTGAATAGTCTCCACCGGATGAATTGTTCATCATGTCAGGTGATATGGTGGAGAATATTCTCTAGGCATCTTGGCATCGTTGATTGTCCAAGCGAGGCTTGATTGTCTTGTGCATTCTATGTTACACCTACCAGATTGTCCGTGGTGTGTAGTTTTTGCACCACTAGGCATTCCTAGGACCTATTAGAGCGTATCTAATACATCTAAGGACACATGTTATTCTTAGTGTGTAGTGGTCCTTGCCGAGGACACCCGACTAGGGCTGGCCAGGGGTGGTGGAGAGGCGGCGGCATTGGGCGTTGGCGCTGGCGTGCCGGTTGGAAGGGGGCGGCGGTGTGGCTGTAGGCCGTGGCGGGAGCGGTGCCCTAGGGCAGGGCGGCGGCGTGTGGCAGGGCTGGGGGTGCGGGCATGTGTGAAGGAGGAGGGGCAGCAGGAGAGAGAGAGAGAGAGAGAGAGAGAGAGAGAGAGAGAGAGAGAGAAGGAGATAGGGAATAGATTATTTCTTTATTGCTTAAGATTAAATGGTTACAGGGCCCCTTTTTTATAGTCCTAGGAGACTTGGTCCATAAACAATCTAATTTTACAGAAAGGGTCCTTATAGATTTGGGCTGCTTTCAAAACAAATTACTTTTTATCCTTTCTAACAAAATCCTAATCTATTATACCTAAGAAATACCCTATTTATTATTTCTACATCTTTGATTTATTTGGACCTCCTAGAAAGCTGCGTGGTTCAGGGAGCGACAGTGGCTCGCCCCCTGGTCGCACGCCTCCATCGACGTGCGCCTGGCTGGCGCCTGGGTTGGCCAGGGCTGGGTCGCGGGCTCCTCCCGATCCGCTTAGCTTGCTATTGGGTCCTTGATCTAGGACCATGACATCTCCCCCCATCTGCATTCGGTGCGTTCTCGCACCGAATCATTCTCCAGTGCTGGATGCCGTCAACTGGGAGCTTGCCATTGTATGGTATTGCTTCTAAGCGGAGACATAGTCGGCCTGGCGTGGTGTTGTTGTCCGTGGAGTTTTTGTTGGAGAACTCAAAGCAATATTGGCAGTTGCCGATATACCCAAAGATGTAGAGATTGTAGGTGCCTGGTCTAGTTGGTCCGTGAGCTTTTTTAGCTGGAGCTAACATGGCTCTTGGCATTGTTGCATTATGTAGTACCTTCATTGTTTTTGGGGGTTCGATGGAGATTGTATACCAGAGCTGTAGTAATGCGTATGTTGGGGACGCGTACACATGCTGCTGTTGTTAGTCTCTTCGGGGGGTGTTGGGGGGGGAGTGTTGATCGGCTCTCCCTCTCCAAGGTGTTAAAAAACATGTTGCCCATGTCATGGTCTGATGGTCAGATGCAGGGTTGGCCTAACCTGTTGTCGCTGGTTATGTAGACATCATTGATGGAGAGGAATTGGGAACCTATCTCGTCGAAGAAGAATATTGTTGTAGCTGGTGCTATGTGTTGCAGCCACTCTCTTGTGAGTAAAATACTGTTGGGGAATGCGGGTGTGGTCGCCCTGGAAGGATTGTAGAATCCTACTACCAATAGTCGTAGATTTGTTGTGTTGAGGTGCTCTAACAATTCTGGCAATAGCGGAGATGTTGCTGGTAGGAAGTAGCGACCGTTGTAGAAGACCATCCCCTATTCCATGCACTAGTTGCATCCTGCTACCTTGTTGATGATGGCTGTTGATATGATTTGTAGTTGGGGTTCTTCTTGGGTAGCTTGGCGTAGGCGCATCATGAGGTTTGGGTTGGCCTCGATAGCAATTAGCGCCTTTGAGACATGGATATTGAGGTCGGTTTTGGGCTAATGAGCTGTCACTAGTGGTGTGACTATTGGAGGGAGTGTTGCTTGCAATGTGTGGCGCCTGTGCTCCTCTTTCTCCAAGTTTTTGTTGTTTGTCTGTTGAGGCATTGATGTTCGGATCATGCGGTTGTTGAGTTGTCCACAAGAGTACCTTTTGGCTTTTCGCCGGGGAAAGGTCAAGAACCCCTCACAATCACCATGATTGGAGCCGGAGACAATCACCAACCTCCGCTCGATGATTCTCGTTGCTCCAAGCCGTCTAGGTGGCAGCAACCACCAAGAGTAACAAGCGAAACCCGCAGCAAAACACGAACACCAAGTGCCTCTAGATGCAATCACTCAAGCAATGCACTTGGATTCACTCCTAATCTCACAAAATATGATGAATCTATGATGGAGATGAGTGGGAGGGCTTTGGCTAAGCTCACAAGGTTGCTATGTCAATGCAAATGGCCAAGAGAGTGATCTTGAGCCAGCCACGGTGCTTAAATAGGAGCCCCCACAAAATTGAGCTATTAGGCTCACATAGCAGCCCAACTCGCGTTGACCGAACGCGTCTATCAGAATGACCGGACGCACCCGGTCCAGTGTCCGGTCGCGGGATCTTCGCCACATGTCCCGCCTTCAAATTCGCACCGCCCGATCTCCAACGGCTAACTCACACCTGCGCTCGTGTTAAAGAAGGATCGGACACGCCAGTCGCGAGGCTAGAAGCGCCGGTGCACAGTTAGCTTGCTCGCGTGCCCAAACCACCAAGCACTGACCGGACGCGCTGCTCCCTCTAGCTACCGCCCGTTAGGTTACTTCCAGAGAGGTTCCAAAGCACCCAAATGCTGATCGGATGCGTCAGATGTACCTCGATCGGACCCAGCCCAGCGTTCGGTCAGTTCTCCTCCTCTGCGGGCCAAGTTTCATGCCCGACGTCAGCGTATGTCACCTATGACCGGACGCAAGCCCTACGCGTCCGGTCACTTTTACTATGCTGTGTTCGGTCGCTGAAATGACTCACCCCGAGCGCGCCAACACTTTTATAAATGACCAGACTCACCACCTCAGCATTTGGTCACCTCGGGTTCCGCATCCGGTCACTGATTTTCAGTAAAAACACCTCCTTCACTTCACCAACTTCTCCACCCTTGCTCAAATGTGCCAACCACCAAGTGTATCACCTTGTGCACATGTGTTAGCATATTTTTATAAAACATTTTTAAGGGTGTTAGCACTCACTAGAATCTAAATGCATATGCAATGAGTTAGAACATCTAGTGGCACTTTGATAACCATATTTCGATACGAGTTTCACCCCGCTTTATAGTACGACTATCAATCCTAAATGTGATCACACTCGCTAAGTGTCTCGATCACCAAACCAAAAAAAACTCCTATCAAGATTCACCTTTGCCTTGATCTTTTTATTTTTCTCTTTCTTCTTTTCTAAGTCCAAGCACTTGATCATCACCATGGTAACACCATCATCATGATCTTCACCATTGCACCACCACTTGGAATAGTGCTACCTATCTTATGATAACTTTGATAAACTAGGTTAGCACTTAGGGTTTCATCAATTCACCAAAACCAAACTACAGCTTTCACTCGTCCATCTTAGCATTGAGAAAGGCGTTGCCTACCGATGCCATTGCGTTCTTGATGTCTGCCTCCAATTGTTTGACTGTTGCTGCGTGCTCGATGGTTGCGAGTGCCGATTTTGTTGTGGCGGTGTCGGTTGTGTGCTCTTGTTCGATCATGGCCAGGCATGTGTCCAATATGGTGAGGGAGTTGTTGTATCCTTCGAACTGGCCGGTGATGGTGGCGAAGAAGTCGTTGATCAGTTGGCGTAATTCTACGAGGAGATCGGAGTTGCTGCTGCTGTGTCACACCTGATTTTAAGGACAAAATCGAATGTAGAATCCTATGTATGCCTAGGAATCAGTCACACACATAAGACGACAAATTACATTGTATCATCACAAGTGTTTATTACATATCGAATAATATTCCATGACAAAAGTATCAAGTCTATAAAAGAAACGGAAAAACGTGATAACTACTCTTCACGAGACCCTCCAAACTCCACAGGGACGGTTGACTGGTGAACCATAAGTCTAGTAATCCTCAGGAAACTTAGCATTACCGCCATAATCTGTTACCCATCCGGGAAATCGACAATGGATATGCTTGTGATCACCAAGGCTCTATTGCCCTTGGCTCTTGGGCTACAACCACAAAGGTGGGCACACCTAGCTAGACTAGCTACTTGCAAACCAACTATGATTCTCATAAGTCATCACTAGCCTCTCTCCTTGTCACCTGATATCTTCTTCACTTGAGCTTGGTGTCATCAAGATAAGGGTCTCTACATCCCCTCACAAGCTTCTTCACTACCGGAAACCGGCACTTTGCCGAGTGCCGGAGGCTTTGCCGAGTGAATTTTATCGGGCACTCGGCAAAGACGGTCTTTGCCGAGTGCCAAATAAAATACACTCGGCAAAAAAAACACTCGACAAAATGCGTCTTTGCCGAGGGCCTTTTTTCTGGCACTCGGCAAAGATGTATTTTGCCGAGTGCTATTTTTCGGCACACGGCAAAATGCGTCTTTGCCGAGTGCCTTTTTTCTGGCACTCGGCAAAGATATATTTTGCCGAGTGCTATTTTTTGGCACACGGCAAAATGCGTCTTTGCCGAGTGCCTTTTTTCTGGCACTCGGCAAAGATGTATTTGGCCGAGTGTCTTTGTTTTGGCACTCGGCGAAGAGGCATTTTGCCATGTGCATTTTTTTTGGCCCTGGCAAATCAGTTTTTCAAAGCAATTTTTGAGGCCCTAAATGAATTCAAATGAAAAACTTTTCAACTACAAAGTTATATAACTTCTCAAGATCTACAAAGTTTATTTTGGTCATTTCTTCATTTGACAAAGCGACAATAACATTTTTCATAAAATCTACATCTCTCATATTAGTTTCATGAAAGTAGAAGAGAGAGATATAAGATTTGTGAACAATGTTACTACCACTATGTTGGATGAACAAATGACCAAAATAAACTTTGTAGATCTTGAGAAGTTATAAAATTTTGTAGTTGGCAACATTTTGATTTGAAATCATCTTGTCATGCAAAAACGACGTTTGAATTTAAAAATTTTAAAATTTGAATTTTTCAAAAGACCTCGGATGGAAAAACTTCCTAAATGAAAATTGTAGATCTCCAAAAGTTATGAAACTATGTAGTTGACAACTTTTTGTTTTGAAATCATCTTATCATGCAAAACTACGTTTGAATCTCTCAAATTTGAAATTCGAATTTTTCAAACGACCTCGGATGGAAAAACTTCCTAAATCAAAATTGTAGATCTCGAAAAGTTATGAAACTTTGTAGTTGACCACTTTTTGATTTGAATTCGTTTAGGGCCTCAAACAAGCAATTTATTCTTGGTTTAGTATAATATATGAGGATAGATAACGGAATCTAGACACAAGTGACAGTGTAGTGCAGTGGTAGAGCAGCAAACACGTGAGGGAGAGGTCGTGAGTTCGAATCCCGCCGGCCGCGTTAGCCACGAATTAAGCGCAAAAAATGCAGCGACTTCGATGGAGACGGGCGGGCGCTGGCCGGTGGCGGCCTCCCCCGGAAAAAAAAATTTGCTATTATTTTTGGGTTTTTTTCGCATTTTCATTTTGCCGAGTGTAAATTTTAGCCGAGTGCTTTTCCGGCACTCGGCAAAGGCTTTGCCGAGTGCCCGACATGCGGCACTCGACAAAGAAGCCTTTGCCGTGAAGGGATATGCCGACAGCTCTTTGCCGAGTGCAGCACTCGACAAAGGCTTTGCCGAGTGCAAAGCCTTCTTTGCCGCACTCGGCAAAGCACGCGTGTGCTGTAGTGCTTGGTGCCGCTCTACAAAAATCAAGAGGGCCAATAGTCTTGAGGGGTTCAAGTCCCTAGGTGCTAGTGCACTAATATTATATGATTATATTGGATTAATCCTAGACAACTGTTAGTTTCTACCTTGACTAAAACCATTTGTGTTGGTGAAAGGAGCAAATGTCCTCGAGAGGGTGGAGGTGAATTGAGACCCATAAAATTCAAAGCAACAACCTTAAATTGATTAAACTACTGCAACAACTAGCAAGAACCAGCCCAAGAACTAAGCAAAGATCACACTAAGATGTGTCGACAGGGCTATAATGTAAGCCAAGTCCTTAGTCCATGAACAATTGCAATAGGTCCTTAGATTGTGGAAATTAAATCTAGCTAGTATATCACACTAACACAAAATCAAGTTGAAGGGATCATGACACCTAAGAGGGGTATGAATTAGGCAACATAAAACTAATGGCCTCAAAAACCTACTTATCAAAACCTACGCAAAATACTATCTAGATATGTACTAAAGTTTTGATAAGTGTTGCTAAGAACACCAAGGGATGGCTGTAAATCCTCATCAATATCAGTAGATTCTTCATGACCACGAGCCAAATTACTTGCAAAGACTTTCGGGGCAGTTACCTCTAATGAAACTTCATGAAACTCTACTCCCTTTGTACTATAATATAATGCATTCAAAAAAATTTAAGACAAGTTGAGGGAATACTTAGATGACACATGTATTCATGGATTGAACCCAATTATGGAGTTTCTCCTCAAATTGGTTTCCTTTTTAACAAACTTTGCCAAATCTAAACATAGACACCATGTATCATGCATTATATTCCAGTACAAATTTTAAAAGTCATAATGCACTATATTTTAGGACAAAAGAGTACTTAAGTGGTAGATTAGGATGGGCATATTTCTCAGTGGCACATGCACAACTACTTCATTGTTCTCCACTATAATATGGTTTCTTTATGAGCAATAGTCTATACCTTTCTCTATATTTTTCTTTTCCATACCAAAACTGATGAAATCTAACATTCTACTTCATTTATGATTAGGCACTAAACATGATTTGTCGTTGGGCTGAAAACCCAAATTCAGATGCGCTCAAGCGACATATTCCAAGGATACATGATTATTTGTGGATTGCTGAAGATGGAATAAAAACCAAAGTATTGTATATTTTATTCCAACTATTCTTGTAGTTTCATGCATTTGCCCTAGATCCCCTTTCTCTCTACTTTTAGAATGGATAAATCAGATATTAAATAACTGGCATGTGATTGGACGTCTCATCATTAACTGTTCTAAGCTAATTAAATCCCATCTAAATACAACCTTATATGATAGGACAAACCTCATGTTCCTTTAATTATTATTTCATAATAATAATTTGGTATAGTCCTCTACAACAAAAATGTTATCAAAGGTACATGCATTAAATTTCCATTTACATTAAAGCATTCTTTCATATTTAGATTTTAAAACAACCACAAAAACAAGAAAATTACTGACTCAGACTTCTTTATTCTTACGAAAAAGTGTCTTAAAGGTGGAGAGGTGGATTGTTGCAAATAGTTGTCCTTTCCTTTCTTTGATTGTATTGTTGATATTAAAAAATTTTGCAACAAAGTACTTCATATTGTGCATATACCATTTTACATGGGCCAATAGTTTTCAAGAGTAAATGGTCTTGGATGGCAGAATTTTTTTTTTATTTAGATTGCTTAATAATTTCTTACTTTTTTCTCTAGATTTATTCCTCATCGTGGAAGATGTTGTATTACTTGTATTCAGGAGTTCTTTAATAAAACTTTGATGTGCCATTCTGATTGTAGATATACGATGGCACCCATAACTGGGAGTTAGCACTTATAATCCAGGCCTTGTTATCAGCAGATGCTGCCAATGAATATGGTCCAACCATTGAGAGGGCTATGGGATACATAAAGAGAGCACAGGTCTGTTGCTTACCACATCTTCTCGGTTTATCCTACAAAATAACAATTAATTAGATACAAAATTATTTTTTTCTTCATGGATATTTATACTGTTCTTTAACAAACAGGTTACTACAAACCCTCCAGGGAACCCTAGTTATTGGTTCCGGCATAGATCAAAAGGATCATGGCCACTTTCAACTGTAGACCATGGCTGGGCTTCATCGGACACTAGTGGCGAAGCAACTAAGGTCAGCACAAGAAGCTTAATTATAGTTTAGTATTTTGTTTTGATATAGATATAGATAGATAGATAGATAGATAGAGAGATATAGAGAGAGAGGGAGCAAGAAGTTAGGAGGTTGCCAACCCGCGCCATTCAATTCTCCTGGTGGTACGTAGTTGTAACACAATGCGTCCAAAATCTGCTTATATGCCCTAGCTCCGCACGTAGAACGGGCCTGCATACCGTAGCACCTCTCTTACACTTTTGTCCTTGTTTTGCATAAAAAGGTTAATCCGAATGTGCTAAGTTTGGAATGATAAGGATTATAAGCTGGACCTCACCTTCCTGAACTTTCAAGGTGGTACTAAACCCACCAACTACAACTCCTCATGTGCCATGGGCCAACTTCACAACTACTACAAGCTTCTAACGGACAGTGGTTTTACATTCATCCCCTTTAAGGGTTGACGCCCTCGGTAGCTCACCACATACGTAGCAGATTTTCAGGACCACCTTTTATACACCCCTCCACGGGCACATGCATTAAGGGTTGATGCTCTGATAACATCTGTAACATCCTGTGTCTAAAATCTTCTTATATGGCCTAGCTCCGCATGTGGAACGGGTGCGTAGCACCTCTCTTGCACTTTCGTCCTCGCTTCGTGTAAAAGGGTTAACTTGGATGTACTACAGTTAGAACGATAGGGATTATAAGCCGGAATGACAAGGATTATTAGCTGGTCCTTACCTTCCTAAACTTTCAAGATGATATACTAAATTCACTAACTATAGGTTCTCATGTGCCACATGGGCCATGCATGAGCTAACAACACAACTACGTACTATAGGCTAGTAACGGACCGGGGTGTCGCTGTAGTGCTTCACGCCTTCTGCTTTGGGTACTAAGGACTGAAGCCAGTGTGGCAGTGACAGGGCCATCTTCATCTTGTTGCATTGTGTTGGTGGCCACGACGAGTCGACCAAGGTCAACAGCCTTGTGCGATGCCATGGCGGCCCGATGCTTGCCGGATTGGCGTGTTGCATGACAATCGTATGCGGGTACACGACTAACAAGTCCTGTGGTTTCACTTGTCCGCCTGTTAAAAAATATCCGTACTGTGCCACAACGGCTGCTGGTGTCGCTGCTCTCCTACTTGCTCCTAGCAAGGAGTGTACTAGTACATGGCAGGCATCCAGTCATCCACTGCCTCCATGGGCCTTTCTGGATTCCTAGTCTCACGTCCACCTCTTTGTTCGAGCTGGGCCGCAGGTACTCTGTCCCAAAAAAAAAAAGAATATAATTATAAGTTACGGTACCCGTCGGAGTGGTTCATGTTGATCAAGTTTCTAATGGTAATATCTATATTTATGGCTTTAAATCAATTTATTATAAAAATATATTTTAGAATTAATCTAATAATATTTATTTGATATCATAAGTATTAATATTTTTTATCTATAATATAATTGATTAAAATTAAGATACTATGATATGACGTTACATTCATTCTGGGGATGGAGGGAGAACTGCTAAGCTCTTTGCTTTGTCCTCGTCCCATGTTGCTTGGTTGTGCGTGGCTGCTAATTTCTGCAGCCTTCCCTATGCATTGGAAGGCCCGATCGGTTGGAAGGCGTCGAACAAGTGGCAACATGACTGCCAGTTCCTGCAGACTAATGTGGGCGGTCATCATCTACCACGTTCGACTGAATAATAGCTCAGTTTATTGTTTTTTGGTTGATCTGAAGGGTATAGCCATGAGGGTGGGCCAATATGTTTCTTCTCTTGTCCAAAGACGGCTTAGCGAGACCTATATATCTTGTCTTGCATCTCTCTCGTTCTGTTCGTGACAAGAGTAGTGGCGAACGAACGGCCAGGGTGTGCCCAGTTGTCATGCACCCTAGTTTGATGAAGACATACGTTGAGATCACAGACATTCAGCACTAATTGGGCAAGCAGAGATTTAGTGGTCAGCAACTTGCGTTTTCAAGACTGCGCATGGCCATATGCCCGTCTCGACTGTTTGCCTGGACGTTTTTGCCTGGTTCGTATGAGCTCGGCCAGGGTAGGTAGAGGCTGGTCCAGTAGTTGCAGTTTGCTGCGTTTGGTTGTTTTTCCCAGCAGAGCAGACAGGGATCTTACTTGTTTGCCTGCACAGCGGTATGTGGTCACCTTGGAGTAGGATGTGGTACCCAATTCTTTCCCTTCTTTTCTTGTAGACATTTCTACTAACAGGTTGAAGGCACACGGCCGTTCATGGCTGCAGCCATACCGCCGCCGTCCATGGCAACCACCTGCTCGTCCATGTCGTTGGCCGCGGTGCTCGTCTTCGCGCCTATCTCACTGTTGACCCCTGTGCGGTGCCGCCGCCTGCTATGGCCGACGGCCACCCTCGGTGCAGGCCGAGCCGGCAGCCTCGGTGCAGCCCGCGCGCCACCACCGGCCGGCCGAACCCCGGTCGAGGCTCTCCTCTCCTCCATCGTGCAGTAGCAGCAGAGGCGGCGTCGAGCAGGTTGTGTGGCGGCGCAGAGGTGGGCATAGCGAGAAGCACTTCGAGCAAGGTGCACGATGACGGAAGGGCGGGCACGGCAGGTGCGCTTCGTGAAGAAGAGAGCCAGACCCAGAAAAAACGAAGCCCACTTTGGTTTCCCCGCAGCCTGGCTCTAGGCTGCTTTAAAAAGCGTGCGAGTCTGGCCCATGGAGCGTCCAGGGAAACAAACAAGTCGACCAGGCAAACAAACATGCCCTAGATCTTTGTGTTGTTTCTACTTTGGAGAGCTTATGTGTTTCTAGTTGTTTCTCTCTCTGCAATCTTTGCTTGGGATGCCATGCTGAGTCCAAAACTATAGCAACCATGTAATATCTGTTGTTTAGAATTAATCGATGGAAAAGGTGGCGTCATGTTTCCCTTGAGTTGCTAAAAATAAAATACCTCCACAGTCCCCGCCCTATAAATATGTACGGCAGCCGATTGAGACAACCAGTTAATCAACAAAACCTAGTCTCAATTCAAATTTCTATCATCTCTCTGTCTCGACAATGACTTGAGAAGTTCTAAGTGGCGTTGCCGACTTTAGAGCAACCCTTGGTGTGCGCTAGCCTCGACGCGTTCCACCCGGCCAAGGGTTCCGTAGGAAATTTGGGTGGACCAGTACGGTCTCTAGAACCAAGTGATCTTGTTTTTGCTGGCAGAGCCGCGAGTTCATCTTTTTATGATCTACATGTTCTAGTGTTTTGTTTTGTGGTTATCCTTTGAGGGAACACTAAAACAAAAACATAAAGCAAACGAAACATAGAACGAAATTCACAGTTTATATACACCACCATATATAGCCCGTGTTTAGTTCCAACCCCAAATTCTTAAAAAGTGTTACAGTAGCCATCACATCGAATCTTGCGATACGTGAATGGAGCATTAAATGTAGACGAAAAAAAACTAATTGCACAGTTTAGTTGGAAATCGCGAGACGAACGTTTTGAGCCTAATTAGTCCATGATTGAACACTAATTGTCAAATAAAAACGAAAGTGCTACAGTAGCCCAAATTCCAAAATTCTGCCAACTAAACACGGGCATATACATGACTTGACAAATTTGTTTCTTTTCTTGAAATAGGCAATGCTGTTGCTCTCCAAGGTATATCCCAATCTCGTTGAAAATTCAAACGGAGATGGATGGATGTTTAATGCTGTTGATTGCCTACTTTCATTTATGGTATGATTCTATAAAGCATTTATTTACACTGAAATATTTATTTGCAAGATCATACAAAAAAAATACTGATCGAGCCTTGCATCAACCCCATGGTAAGTGAACACATTAGAATATTTTTTTATTGGTAATCGATATTTGTTAAGGATATGAATGTTGACGCATAACCAAATCTTCTATCCATATTATTTATGCCGTGCTAACTGTAAGGATACGTTAGCAAAGGAATATGAAAACAGATAAATATTTTTTATCTACCAGGGTGAACTGTTAGACATGCATAAGTCATATCCCCATTTGAAACAAAATATCTACCATTCTCATGGGCATCAAAATTTTCTCCTCTATCACAACTTTGTTTAAGTTTATTTAACAAATCACAATCATATTGTTATCATGAAATGCCCTTAGAGTCATGAGAATGTTGTTTCCAACAAATCAGTACTTTCCTTGAATATGTACCTACCTATAATTTGATTCGCAATACTTATTTTGTCAGTGGGATCATGAATGAAAAAGAATGTCATCCTCGGTTTGAACTAAGTCAAACTTTTGTAAGTTTGACTGAATTTATAGCAAATAATATCAAGATCTGTATCTCCAAAGAGGTTTCTCATGAAAATATATTTGATTATCCATCTATAATACTCATTATGCATCATAAATATTACTAAATTTTTTTTATATAATTGGTCAAAGTTGCGATGGATTGACTCCTCGAAAAGCAAGAATGACATTCTTTTTGGGAGCATATTATTACTAAAAATTCTTTATAAAATGTAGCTTTCATTTATTGCCTATTTTCATTTATAGTTGGACTTTATGCACATCAATCTATGGTTAGTTTGACTTCTCTATTAACACAATTTATATTCAGCTTATTTTGTGGATGAGACTTTAGGATTTAATACAATTACATTAGTAGTTTTATTTATTCGAATGCAATATTTCACTAATAAAAGGCTCTGTTTTCATCTACAGAACAAAGATGGTTCAGTTTGTACATTTGAATGCCAAAGAACTTATTCTTGGCTAGAGGTGAGTATGTTTTGCGAAGTTGCATGCTGTTGAAAAAACAAAAATAGGACTTTGTAAGAATGTTTACATCTAAGTGCAATAATGAAAATCAGTAGCATATCATCTTCTTCTAAAATGTCTCCAAGTGAGAACATGGAGTTTATGAACAACTTGATTTGCTTATTGTTTTGGAAAGAAAAGTAGCACATAACCTCTTCAAAAACAAGATAAAAATATTCGATAGTTATTTTGCAATATTGGACTCGGCCGGTTGGGAAAATCAACATAATGTTTTGTCTCTAGAGCTCATCAATACACATTTTGATGCGAAAAAACTTGGTAAGCAAACACCTGTAGGTCAGATCAAGCAATTTATGAGCATCTGATAAATAATCCAAACTACCCAACAATATTGTTCGTAAAAGTTGTCATTGCATTTTGATAGAGGTCGAGTCATGCCACTACTACAAAAAGCATATGTAGCAATGCCTCCTTTTTTCTTAGGGGCGGCTCAGTTTAAAATCGCCCCTACAAATGGTTCTCAAAACGAGCCACCCCTACAAATGCATTTGTAGGGGTTGCTAATATTTTCAGCCGCCCCTAGAAATGGCCGCGCCAAATAGTAAAAATAACGTATTGAAATTTGAATTTTTCAAATATCCTCGGATGGAGAAACGCCAAAAGAAAAGTTATAGATCTCAAAAAGTTATACAACTTTGTAGTTGATAACTTTTTCATTTGAACTCATCTTGTCAAGGAAAACTACGTTTGAATTTCTCAGATTTGAATTTGAATTTGAATTTTTCAAACGACCTCAGATGGAGAAACAACCAAAACAAGACTTGTAGATCTCGAATAGTTATACAATTTTATAGTTGATAACTTTTTCATTTGAAATCATCTACCTAAGGAAAACTACTTTTGAGTTTTCTAAATTTAAAATTTGAATTTCAAACGACTTCGGATGGACAAATGGACAAACAAGAAAGTTGTAGATCTCGTAAAGTTATACAACTTTGTAGTTGACAAGGTTTTCATTTGAAATCATCTAGGATAATTATGTCTAAATTTCCTACATTTAAAATTTGTATTTTTCGAATGACATCGAATGGAGAAACGACCAAAACCAAAGTTGTAGATCCTAAAAAGGTATACAACTTTGTAGTTGATGATATTTTCATTTAAATTCGTTTAGAGTTTCAAACACTCATTTTGAATTCGGTTGAGTATAATATGAGGAGAAAGAATATCTGGTATAGACACAAGTGAGTGTGAGGTGCAGTGGTTAGAGGAGTAACGCACTAGGCGGGAGGTCGCGGGTTCGATCCCCGGCGGCCACGAAAAATCATGCAACTTATGACTTGCGATGGCGTGGGAGTGTGGCTGCCCGGTGTGGTCTTGATTTTTAAAAAAATGGATTTGTAAGGGTGGCTCGTTTTTGAGCCACCCCTACAAACCGATTTGTAAGGGTGGCTGGCCAACCACCGCCGATGGTGGGTAGGGGCCACCACCGATGGTGGGTAGGGGAGGTTGGCCTAGCCGCCCCTACAAACCATCTAGAACTGCCCCTGCAGTGCCTCCCTAGCGTAGTGTGCCATTCTAGATTTTGTCTTACTAAAACCAAGATTACATAAAAAATACTTCCTCCAATAATTGTAAACATAAGTCCATCTAGGTTTATCTTAAGTTAAACTCTTTTAGAACTGACTATAGATATTTAAAATTTTACATAGATTAACATACATATGATTGGTAGTAAATTCATTAAGAAAAATACTTTCATTAATATGCATCTCTATTCTATCATATTTTTATATATATTCTTAATCAAAGTTTGAAATTTTGAGTTAGGAGATACCTAGATGGAGTTATATTTGTGAATGTTGGAAACAATAGGAAGGTTGATTATGATATTCTTGTTACCTTCCTAAATTTCAAATTTACGAAGATCAATTTTACAATGCTAGCAAAATTGTCATCCCAACTTAAAGGTGCATTCATAAACAAATAAGAAAATGATCATTGATTGAGATAAATATTTTGTAACTAGTGAAATGTCTCTGTATTTCAATTGGCAAACAAAATCATTTGTATTAGTCAAAATTGTTCGGATCACAATTTTACATCTAATTGTGAAATGTCGATAACTTTTGCAATAAGTAATTTAGAAATTATTTGTTCTTCTATCTGAACAATACTAAATTACATTTATTTTGCTTAGTAAGTGATTTCAAATTGAGAATGAACGGGCCATCAATCAAAAGTAGCAGTGAAGGGCCTGAGTCAAGGAAATTTGTGTAACATTTATATGTGTTAGCATTGGACTCAAAGGGTACATTATTTTTCAACATTTTGTTGACACATAAATGTGACAAACACTGAGAACTGAACGTGCATCTGCAATGGAGCATTTTGTGGCCTTTCTTTAGAAACTAGATGGTTCTAGTTTTAGGAAACCCGATGGTCTAGTATTCCTGGTTTAGCTGAGGATGGGTGTATCATTATTTTATTGCAAAGAACAACGAGTTATATAGAAAACAAGAAAATGATACCTACCATACTTACATAATATATGAAAGCCTAATTCCCCAAGTAAACTAGCAAAGACCATTCACTACCAAAATGGTGAAGTTCTCCTAGTGTTTTTAAGTAGTAGTAAAATACTACCACTAGTCATAGCACATGGTAATCCTCACTAGGAGGCATTTGGTAGAGAAAGTTTATACTAAATGTTGAATGCTAAAACACTAGGAGAACACCACATCACTAGGAGAAGTTTTAAATTCTGGTTGTGATTAAAGCTCTCGCCCGGGAGGCTAGACACAAAGCAACATATGTGCACCATCTATGGTAATTTATGATTACGAAAACTGTTTGAACAAATGTTTTCGGTTGCGGGACTACTCAACTTGAGAGATCAAACTAACTTGGGTTTTATGGTTGAGGGATACACCCAAACCAATGATTTAATGGTTGAGGGGAGAAAACGAACCTGGGTTTTAGTGTGTTGGGGGTTTAGTGTTTAGGTTATGAGTTTTAGAATTAGGGTTTGCAGTTTAGGGATTAGGGTTTAGCAAGGTTGTGATTTTTGGGCTTAGAGTTTGGAGTTTTGGTTTGGTGTCTTCATAATAACTAATTTACTATCGCAACTTATTGGTACTAAAACACTTTTTAGTTTATGATAATTTGGGTTATTAAATTCCTTTGATTTATTGTTGCAACTTATGCTACAAAAAATAATCAATATAGATTATTCCAAATAGCATTTAATGTTACTTGTCAACTTTAAACTACACACGTGGACCTAGCCGTGCACATTGTAATGAATAGATTAATATTTCTTTATAATAACAAATTTACAAATGCATCATGAGTGATTAAACTTGTTTGTATTTATACAATTACTACTAGTAGAAAATGGTATATTACTCCTGAACTCCACCATATGCACATGCACCTACCCTTGCACGTTGCGTTGAAATACCATTACTTCTTCACAGAAAAATTTACTAGCAAACTTTTCCAAAAAAATCCTTTAAATTTATAATATTGTTCCTTATAATATGTGATATTACTTAACTGCTCCTTAAATCCAACCCATACACATGCACCTTGCCTTGTACATCATAAATTAATCACAATAATTAATGTACTACTATAACATCTGCTTCTAAAACACCTTTTAATTTATAATATTTTCCATGTAGTATGTGATACTGCACCTTAACGCTAACTTTTCATATGCACCCTGCCTTGCACATTCTACCAAAAATACTATTACTACTCGGTTAAGGGTTTTAGGATATTGGTCTAGGGTTTTGGGTTCATGTTCATAGTTTTGCATGTTGGGTTTAGGGTTTAAAGTCATGTATTTAAATTGTGCGGTTTCATGGTTTAGAGTTTATGGTTTAGGGTGGTGTTTTGGAATTAGTGTTTAGAGTTTATTCAGGGTTCTAAGTATGGTATTGGAGTTTAGTGTGGTAATG